AAATCTACTTCTACACCCCCCCCCGCTCTCTCTGCATGCTGTCTATCGGTGTGGACGATCAAATTGACCATAAGAAAGTTCAAAAATTATGTACAAAAAAGTAAATTATTTTTGTTGTCTACAACGATGCTACGGGTAGATCTAACTTTTTGAATCGAACCGAACTACGCGGGTCACCATTTTGTTTTGCCTGGAAGTTCTCGCACTAGGCTACCCCTCTCCCTCTCCCTCTCTCAATCTCTCCACTGCCCACAGACAAAATTGAACGCTTTTACTTTTAGGCTAACAGTAGTAACACAAGAGCCCTGGAACGTTTGTTCACTGCACAGAATTCTACAATTCTGTTATCACAGTGTAGAATTCTGTGGTTGAGGGTGAACGCTACACTGGTTGGCCTCAGGCTATAAAACTTTACGGTGAACTCACACCGGGTGAGAATACCCAAAAGGCTCACCTGCGCTATTCTCACCTGGGCTAGATCTAGAAGATCTAGATCTAGATTCTAGATCTAGAAATCTAGACTAGATCTAAATATAAGTCTTGTAACATACTGGCTTTACTTTAGTCTAAAATTTAGACCTTCCGTACTGATTTTGATGGCCATTGATATTCATAGTTAAGCAAGGGCAAAGTCGGCGAATAGGAAAGTCGGAAAGTCGACTCGACGTTTTCATCAAACTCTGAAAGTTGACTGTGACTTTGACCTTGACTTTACATAGAGTGAAGCTACTACCTCTATGCTCATGTAGCCTACAGGGTCATAGGTTTTGGGCTGACTACTTCTATTTTTAGCTCTTCGACTTCCGGCTTCGGAAAACAAACCTTGTGGGGTTACTGTCAGTCTTTAAAAGTTTGTTTCTGCGCAAAATTTATTTAATCTCACTTCATTTTAAAAATCAGAATTGAGCTTAAAAATAATTCATAGAATCTAATAATAATATTATACATATTTATGAGTAATCAACTGTTTTGATCTCATAATTATTTAAGTGTGTTTTTGCACAAAATCTGATCTCTTGGAATTTGGACGAATGCTATATTATATTACAGTGAAGCCAACAAAACAACGGAAGACAGCCAAGACAGCAATCACTAGTTTTACAGTAATTGATCCAGTGAAGGTGACTGCGACTAGCGCGCCAGCACTGCACGGCGACGCTGCAGGTCAGCCAGCCTCGCCTCGCACACACACACACACTCGGGTCTAGCCCTAGGTCTTGATCAAATTTTTTTTTGGCCGTCTTTAATCGGACTCGAGTCCGAATAACATTTTTTCATATTCGGACTCGAGTCCAAATAAAAAAAAAATCATATTCGGACTCGAGTCCGAAAATAAAAAAATGTTATTCGGACTCGGGTCCGGAAAAAAGGAAGTGTCTTCATTCTATAGATCTAATATTCAGTGCTTCCAATTTTCCGCCATTTTTTAGTTCCCCCCACACCTTATCTGCCGATCCGATGCCCGCTGCCTTATTGATACGTCCCCCCCCCCACCTCCCATGTTTCCCACTTTCTTTGTTGAAAAAAAAGGTAAAATTGAAGATTAGCAGATCACCTGGCACCTGCATATTATGAGCTGTGTAAAAAAAAAAAAGATCGATTCGTTCAAATACACAAGCCTGTGTCATCTCGATTGTTTACCAAGAAAAAGTTGTGTTGCTGTGTAGAGCCGAGCAGAGGGCAACTTTTGATTCCACAAACCAGCGCACAATTCATTACGTAGATCTACGTCAAGACTAATTATTGTAATAATGATCAGTTGTCGGGGGAAAAAAAGACTGACGCGTATGCAACGTTCAACGCTCCGACCGATAATGCCCCCCCCCCCCCCGACACACAGCCACACGGTTGCAGGCCGCCCATCCGACCCACGCTAACGAGCCATCTTTAATTGCTTCTGATGACCTCTTGACAAATAAACATTTATTAGAAGCGCTATAACTTTTCAGGCCGGCCTCAAATTCATAAGATAAAAATTCGGCTCCTGCACAAAACGCCATTTTGCCCGAAGTGATCCCGGTCTCTACCCGGCCTGAGGCGAGTCACGAGTGAGGCAGGACAGGAAGCCGGAGTCACAGTCACAAGTCACAGGAAGTCGGAAGTGATGTCATGCTGGACAAGAATCAGAGTCCGAATAACATTTTTTCATATTCGGACTCGAGTCCGAATAGTCACTTCGTTTTTTTTTTACTGGCTTGCTCTAACTTCGCCGCACCCACCACCAACGTTGACGACTCCCCATTGAAGGGTAGGGGAGGCTGGTCTTGATCAAGACAAGGCTAAGTACTAGGTAGGCTCACCGAGAGTCGAGAGTCACAAGCGACTGGTAGATGAGGGTCAGTGTCGATCTTGGGCTCACAGTCGACTAGATTCTAATCTAAATCTAGATCTAGTAAAGTCGATTTTGCCCGAACCTATTCAGTGTTCACAGTGGTCCCTGGTAAGATTGAAGAATACTGGACCAGCGGACTGACTTTGCCTATGTCTCAACCTTAGGAATTAATAATTTTTCCGTTTTTAATATGGCCACCTCTATTCTCACCCGGGGTGAGAATAGTGCAGGCGAGTCTTTTGGCTATTCTCACCCGGTGCGCGTTCACCGTTATAGCCTAGATCTAGGCCAACAAATTTTGCGTTCACCCTAAACCACAGAATTCTACACTGTGATAACAGAAAAATTGTAGAATTCTGTGCCGTGAACAAACGTTCCAATACAACTGTAGCCTACTAAAAGCGTACAATTTTGTCTGTGGGCAGTGGAGAGAGAGAGAGAGAGAGAAAAAGAGAGAGAGAGGAGTAGCGCGAGAACTTCCGGTCAAAACAAAATGGCGACCCGCGTAGTTTGGCTCAATTCGAAAAGTTAAATAGCCGTAGCATCTTTGTAGACAACCAAATTAATTTTTTTTGGTGTGTTTTAACATCACTTTTTAACTTTGTTTTGGTCAATTTGATTGTCCACACCGATAGACAGAATTCAGAAAGAGACAGAGAGAGAGAGGGGGGGGAGGAGTAGATCTTGCGAGAATTTCCGGGCAAAACAAAATGGCGACCCGCGTAGTTCGGCTCGATTCGAACAGTGAAACAGCCATAGCATCTTTGAAGACGATCAAATTAGCTTACTTTTGTGCTATAACATAATTTTTTCTTGGCTTTTATCAATTTGATCATCCACATCGATAGAAAGTATTCCGAAATTAGGAAAAACAGGTCTTGTTTCAAACCGGGTGAGAATAGCCTACGGTCGGAAGTCTCACTTGGGGTGAGAGGTCGATCGTATTTCTATTGGCCACCTCTATTCTCACCCGGAGTGAGAATAGTGCAGGCGAGTCTTGTGGCTATTCTCACCCGGTGCGCGTTCACCAAATTTTGCGTTCACCCTAAACTACAGAATTCTACACTGTGATAACAGAAAAATTGTAGAATTCTGTGCCGTGAACAAACGTTCCATTACAATTGTAGCCTACTAAAAGCGTACAATTTTGTCTGTGGGCAGTGGAGAGAGAGAGAAAGAGAGAGGAGTAGCGCGAGAATTTCTGGGCAAAACAAAATGGCGACCCGCGTAGTTCGGCTCGATTCGAAAAGTTAAATAGCCGTAGCATCTTTGTAGACAACCAAATTTATTTACTTTTGTGTTTTAACATCATTTTTTAACTTTGTTTTGGTCAATTTCATCGTCAACACCGATAGACAGTATTCAGAAAGAGACAGAGAGAGAGAGAAGAGGGGAGGAGTTGATCTTGCGAGAACTTCCGGGCGGGTGAGAATAGCCACTTTCATTTCTATTCTCACCCCGGATGAGAATAGCCACTTCCTTTTAATATATCTCTCAATGGAGAATCTCGGACCGGTAGATCTATTTATTAAAATATTGTCCCCCCTCCTCCACCCCAACCTCCCGCCCCATCTACCCCACATTCTCACGCAATAATGTACGAGTGGTCCGGTATTCTTCAATCTTCCCTGGTCCCTCATTACGGAAGTCCTCCTCGGGTATTAAACGCGAGAATGTAAACAATTACCTCTAGATCTAGATCTAGAATCTAGATTTACATCTAGATCTAGATTTCTAGATCTAATCTAGATTCGGTAAGATTGTACTTTACCGGACCACCGGTCGGAACTACTTTCGCTATGGCGCCCCTGGTGCCTAGTGGCCCGCTATTCTTGGTTTCCGAGCTCCCCTACTCACTCCCCTACTCAGTTTTCTACGTCCTCACTCTTCAACTGCCAGCAATCGACTGACGTCTCTTACCGGGTTTTTCAGTCATCACGACCGTGCCACCGTGCCCTTTTACCCATGACCCTGACATCTTGAGGCTAATTGGTCAATCTAATCACGTGGTCCACTATTCTTATTTGCTCGCAACTCTGCTGGCCTGGCCTAGGCCTACTCCTGGTCCGGCAAAGTACAATGGAGGGCTAAAGAGGCACACGAGAGCTCATTTGCATAATTGCAACCCCATTGGCCCTGCTCGCGACTTGGCGAGTATCTACCCCGATTGTCCGCTCATGTTATTGTTTATAATATGTGTGTGTGAGTGTCTTTAAATTATTGTTGCCAGGGGGGCTAGCCCCCCTGAATCCCCCTGTAAACACGACTGTCCGCTCATGTTATTGTTTCGCATTTTTGTGTGTTTTCTTTATTATAGTTTCCAGGGGGGCAAGCCCCCCTGAACCCCCCCTCCCCCTCCTCACTGTTGGTATGATACACGGTGGTCCACCAAAGTTAAATCCCCTGCCCACTCTCAACCACCAACTCTCGCTCACCTCGCCTCGCCAGTTGCCGCTGGCTTGCGCTGTGCGTGCGCGAAGTCGCCCGCGGAACTACCTTTTGTCTGCACGCAGAGTACTATGACTATGAGAGCGTAGTTAGGCTAGGTGTGCGTAGTAATCACGGACCGAGACGGGTGGTCCGGTAAAGTACAATCCAGCCCTAGATTCTAGATCTATAGACTTTCTAATTGAGTTTGAATGAATGTGGTACTCTGGGACTGACAAACCTCTGAAATAAGTCACTGGTCCATCGATGATCCTAAATACACCGAGGGCAATGTTCTGAAACTTTAAATCAGTTATTGAGCTACTCTTGGGGGCTGCATGGCCACCTTCTTCGCCGTCATGGGCCCCCATGGTTTGTCAGGCCTACCAACGTCCCAAAAACTTATAACAGACAGGCGTAGAACCCGGTGAACCAAGGTCAGTACGGTGCTTCAGGACTTGGTAGAGTTGCCACCGCTGTTGTATAGAAAAACCGGAAGTACAGTATAATGGTATGCCATATAGGCCTTTCGTAGTCGAGAGAAAAGTCGACATTAGGATAGGCCCTTGGCCTATATACTAGACTAATGAAAGTACAAATTACTTGTACCTTTAGCATAAGCTTCTGTTTTCGTTATGAAAATTAAAGCATTTTCTGTGACTCTTTTCAAACATTGTTCACAGTTCTTTTCAAACCTTACTGATAAAAGTTGATGTCAATGTCATTGCCCTTTGTTCACAAGTTGTGAATCTTCACTCTCCGATTTACTCATACATTTATACAATAATATAAATAGATCTATGTGTGTAGAATATCAATAAAAAATTATTGTTTAATTAAATGGAGTTAAAATTTACCTCTAAATTAACGTCAATTATTGTGTAGTTGTCAGCAACAAGCTCATAAGAAGTTGCAGCTCGTTTCGCCAATTTTCATAGGCTAATTTACTTTTAATCGTACGAAACAGCTGACATACTACCCAAGTAAAAATAACCCGACAGACGCACTTCCTCTTCCTTTTTTACCCTCATCTTCAAGATGGTAGGTTATACAGTAGAATTAGGAAGGACGAATCTCTTTCAATCGAAGGAAAATCTTCGTATATAATGATTGATACAGCATCAGCATTTGCGTTTGAGTTAGTCTGAACGTATTACTTATTTTGTAGGCTAATATTACGTTCCGTTTGTTAGAGATTGGGTTTGGAAAGACCGTTACGGTGAACAATGCTTTGGAGTATGCGAACTACAATATCATTGGGCTCTTAGTATAAATAGATTAGATCTTTTGAATAGGTAGATCTAAATACTTTTGGTTAGATTCTAAGTTCAGTAAGAGTAGGAGCACGTTTGCCACCCGAAGCGTCTCGTTGGGGACAAGTTTGCACCCGAAATATGACTAAACCAAAGACTAATGTCCAATGAGGACCAATGCCAATGTCTGGGAAGGACTTCCGTAGGCCTAACGAGCGACCACCCCATCGAACACAATAAAGAAGAGGCCTAACCCTACCCCTAGCCCTCAATTCTGCTCTGTCTCATAGTGGTCGCTCGTTACAGAAGTCCTCCCTGTGTCTGGTAGGATAGGCCTACTGTCAAGCATGCTCTGCCACTAATAAAATAAAGTAGTCAAACCTGCCCTGACTGCCACCTGTACAAACGGACACTTTACTTTCCATTTCCCCCCTTGCGTTTTTTCTATATAATTTAACTGTAAAACGGGCACCTGTCCGCCGCGGCCACCGTATTTCAACACACAAAGTGACAAAGCAATAACACCTGTCTTAGACGACCATCTTAGTGACTCCATTACGCTTTGTCATCATAAAAAAGCAAGCATTGACCCCTGGCGTTGTGGACGAGCCGTCATAATTTAAACGAAGTGTATACAGACCCGGTAACCGGGAACAAAGTCACGAAGTATACAGACCCGGTAGGGGAACTCTTTTGTGATTTCGGAAAGTTTCATCGCCCAGACCCATTAGTCAGTAGTGTGTGTGAGAGAGAGAGGAGAGCAGGGGGAAGTGCTAGCAAAATGTATGACATGCCCCAGTTGGCAGGAGGGAACGAGTGAAAGATAAAGTGGGAAATAGGTGGGGAGAAAGAAAGACAGAGACAATCAAAGAAAAAGAGAATGCGAGCGACAGAGGGAGAGAGAGAGGATGACTGTTCGAGAGAAATTATGACATTGTTCTTTTCTTCAAATTGTGATTCTTCCAACTCCAAAACGGAGGAACAACGATCGTTGATCGAAAAGACGGCGCTTTTTCGGTAGTTCCCACCCCGCAATTGTTATTCGCTGGTTTTGGCCTCAAGAGTGGGGGGTTTCAGGGGGGCTTGCCCCCCTGTCCTAATAAAAATGTGGTGGGGGGTTTCAGGTGCCCCCCTGAATTTTACCGTAATTTATGTTTTGCAGTTGTTAGGTTTGATATCTTAGCCCGCATCAAAAGTATAGATCTCGATGTAGGTCAGGCTCAAAATATAAGGGGGGTGGGAACTACCGAAAAAACATCCGCAATCTTCATTTAGATCTAGGCTAGCCTCGAAACTAGATCAATGATTTATGTCTGTCTGTCTAGATCTAGATCTAGCCTAGGCCATAGATATAGAAGAACCTAGATTTAGGTCTACCCTGAGCCAAGAGGGCGCTGAAACTTTCCGAAATCACAAAAGAGTTCCCCTACCGGGTCTGTATTCACTCCCTAATTTAAAAACCTGTCGTTAGAGTTAGGTAGTCCCTCCAACTGATCATGTTGCGTAGGCCCCTCCCACTGTTTACCAATAGATCTAGAATCTAGGTAACTAAATTAATTTTCAGCTGCTGGGGAGGGAAGCGTGTGATCCCTCATAAGCCCCGCCCAGAACCCATACACAAATTATCGCAAGTGAGATGACTGGTCACTGTTTACCCAGTCTAATAAAGTGACCATGGACGTCAGCAGGAACTTGTGACAGAAGCGTTGCTTGTTCTCCGAGTGGTAGATCTAGATCTAGTACGTGTTTGTTTTACCACAGCACTTGGTCCTCCTTGTTTGACACATTTCGTTTTATTATCACCCATACACAAAAGAAAAGAGAAAAGAAAACCCAGCGAAAACAATGCAACTGCCTTCGGTTGGGACCTCAGAAAGGAATGGTTTGTTTTCTTCTTCTTGATCAGTCCTGCCTAAGACGACCACCTGTCTTATTATACGGCCACTTTTCTCCTTGACAATGGGTTGCCGTCTTACACAGGTTCGACTGTAGTCTATCTAAAGGACCTATTAGATCTACATGTGTACAGTCCGACCGGACAGGTTTCTGGGTGCTTTTTCGGTAGTTCCCACCCCCCTTATTTGAGCCTGACCTACTTCTAGATCTAGATCTATACGTTTGATTCGCGGTGAGCTAAGATATCAAACCTACAACAGCAAAACATTAAATTGTGGTAAAATTCAGGGGGGCATGCCCCCCTGAAACCCCCCTTCCTATTTTTGTTAGGTCAGTGGGGCATGCCCCCCTGAAACCCCCCTTCCTATTTTTGTTAGGTCAGGCCCCCCTGAACAACCCCCCCTATTCTTGGGGCCAAAACCCGTGAATAACAATTGCGGGGTGGGAACTACCGAAAAAGCGCCGGTTTCTGGGCCGTACGGCCAATCGTAACGTGTAGATCAAATAAGAAAGGCCGGCGCAGGGGGGTCTGCGCTTTTTCGGTAGTTCCCACCCCGCAATTATTTGCCGGTTTTGGTCCCAGGAAGACTTGGGATTTTATCGGGGCATGCCCCCTGATTTTTACCATAATTTGATCTTTTGCAGTTGTTACGTTTGATATCTTACCTCGCCGCACATCAAACGTAGACTAGATCTACCAGTTGTCCATTTCCTACTAAATATTGATGCACTGAACACGAATAACTTCATTTCTGTCGCAAATTAATAGGCTAGTTTTTTAAATATTTGATTGTTCTTAATCGAGATAGACGTGCTTTGGACCAATTGGGGGGGGGGTGTAAAAAAATTGGGGGGTTACAGCCCCCCTGTTTTTACCCATAATTTGATATATAATTTTAGTTAGATCTAGATCTAGTTAGAATCTAGATTTGACATTTTCTTAAAAATAATTGATTTGCAACAGTTTAGGTGGCTTTATACTTTATATGTGTGATCTGCAGTTTGACCCCTGAAACTGCATCTGTGTGCAGGAGTCAAAGTAAAAATTTACCTTATCAAGACTTCCGTGTCTCCTTTGCCCAGCATTTATTTGGTTTGGTTAGCTAATGTTGCCCAAAAATTTTGCAGATTATATTCAATAGGTTCTAGATCTAGATATCGAAGTCTAGATTTTAAAATCTAATATTTTAGAGGGGCCATAGATTTCTGTGAATGGCAAAACATCCCCAAAGACTGCAGTCATAACTCCACCCATCAGTGGGCGTGGCACATGCATCACCATCAGCGGTGACTGCGTGAGTTTGCAGATCTAGATCTAGGCCTAGCACCAGTGATCTTTTAGTTATCATTTTCTGAATCATAACTTCCCATCAACTGTTGCATGTCAGTCATCCTCAGTTGAGTTGAAATATCTGACTGATTACCTCCAACACTAGGTCAAATCAACTGATATAATTCTTTTTAATCTTCAGTCTCACAGGAAATTCTCTGCCCCAAGGCATGGTTCCAAAGGGTTCTTACCCAAGAAAAGGGCCAAGCGCCATAGGGGAAAGGTCAAGGCTTTCCCCAAGGATGACCAAAGCAAGCCTGTGCACCTGACAGCCTTCATTGGATATAAGGCTGGTATGACCCATATTGTCAGAGAAGTGGATCGCCCTGGCTCAAGTAAGTAGGCGTAATTGTGTACATTTTCCTTGTATTTAAAGTGACCTTTAACACTTGGCCTTGGGAGTGTCTACGTACACGGTAAATGGGTACTTATTATTAGTTGCGGGGGCCCCTTGAGCTAGGACTGGGTGCATGGTAACTGCTCCCCCCCCCCAATCACTGGACTAGCCAATCACAATGCCGCACCGCTAAGTAATAAAGTTTACATAGAAAAAAGGGGGATTCCGGTAAAGTCCAGCTGTAGGGGTCAGATTGAGTTATCGTGTATCTACATCTAATGACTATGAGCTTGGATAGAGAAAAAAGGGCAGCTGAAATGGCCATTGTCAAACGTGGCCTCGCACAATGCAGACCGTGAGAATGTCTGAGTTCGCACGGTGCACTACAGGGTGGCCAGGGAAGTCGGAAATTTTTGTTTAGGTTGGATAAGTTGGATTTTTGTAGGAAAAATTTTGTGCTGACGGAAATGGTTGGATAAACGTCGGCAATAAAAGGAAATTTGTAAGTTGCCTCGGGAAAATACATAAAAGTTCTCGAATATTTGAAAACCAAATCCGATAACGTCCCTAAGTTCATTATGTCGGTCGCGATCATTCAGATTTTCCCGGTCTGGAGTACGTTTCATGCGAACAGGCGGCAAGCGGAAGTGTACGAGTGATGCCGAGGCTCGATCGGGAAAATCTAGATCTACTTTCGCTTTCACTACCTCCCTGAAATTTGCCCATAAAAACACATTGTTGTAACATGCAGTTTGTGTCGCTATGAAAATAAATCAATATTTGTCTCTTGTGTAGAAAGAAAAGAAAGTTATACAAACGTCTTGTCGGGCTCGCCGCCGTGACCGGTCACTGAACCTGCGCGTTTGTATGTCACACACATGATAGGGCGTCGAGTGAGTACCGCGAATGTTAGGGT